GGGGGACGGGGTTTCCCCCTTCCCCTCGGCTTGTAAACAAAGAAGAAAGAGGACTATATAACTATATATATGTGTATATATATATATATATGTATATATATATATATGAGCTCAGGTCACTTTTATGGCTGCGCTAGCGCAACTGGTTGCTCTAGGCATACACCAAATAATCCGCCACAGTTCAATTACGGCCGGGCCCTCGCTCGTTTCGGGACGCTCCGAGAACGTCCAAGACGGCCCTGGGACGAACCACGAGAGCCCAACAAGGCTCCAAGAGGCCCCAAAAAATTTCCCCAAACGGCAAAGACAGTCCCACAACAACCAAATATAACCCCAGTGCGGCCCAGGAGGCTCGCAAGATGGCCCATGGCAGCCTGAACAGGATCCCCCAAACCAGAAATTATGGGTTGTCGTGGGGTCACTCTATTCCGACGTTCTCGGTATTCCGAGCTTCCAAGACGGCCTACGAGGCCCTCAAGATCGCCCGCTTATGGCCCACATGTCGTGCAAGAGGGGCCCAAAACGGCCAAACGGGGGCCCAGTATACTCCGAGAGGGCTTCAACACGCCCCAAGAGGGCCCCTGCAAGGGCTCCAAGGCAACCCAAAGTCGCACGACAACCTACTAGGGCCCCCCAGGTGGTCGCATTCGATGATAATCAAAATCAGCGTTTTTGTCGGAGGAATTAAAAATAACGCGTGCGCGAACTTGTTTTGAGAAGTCATGCTGCAAAGCCATGTGTTTTTGTTAACATATGATTTCGGGGCACTCGACGTGGACATCCTAGCGAAACCATTGGTTTTTGAACGATTCCGGTATGCGCGCACGACGACGCGCGCGTGATTCATGTGTCCCGGCTTTTGCAAGGGATCTTTGGCAATTGATGATTTTTGCGAGTAGACGAATGAAACCATGTGTAAATTGCACATCCCCAAGGTGGACGTTTAAGTCCGGCCTCGGGAGGGTGGTGGAATCAATTCTCTTGTAGAAGAAAAAACGAATCGACGTGGTGCTTTCTGTGTGGTGAAATATGTGGTGCAATGTGTTGTGCGATCCATGTGGTGCAATGCATATGGGGCAACCTATGCGGTGCAATTTTTGTGATGCAGCCTGTGCTGTGCAAGCCAATGCTCAACTTGAGGTTGTCCACTCCACCGCTCGCACAAACATCCCATCCACCCACCCGCAGCTTGGTTTGCAAACCCCGGGCGGCGGCGATTGCGATGAGTGCTTGGCGCTGGCTGGTGCATCTCTGCGGCCGCGACAGCCCGCGCATGCTCGCGCGCGCAGCGGCCAGCTACTTCAGCGCGACCGACGCGATCGCGGTGGCGTTGGCCGCTGGGCACATCCCAGCGGGCACTTCACTGCGAGTCGGCGACTTGGGCAGGCGCGGTATCATGGCAACGTCGGCAACGGTAGACACGATAATGGTAGTCGCGATGCTGGTGACGATGTTGCCAACGACGAAGGCGCGGCCAGTGCGGGCGCCGATGCTGATCACGCCGGCGACGATGACGGCGGACGGCGTCCCCGCGTCGGTGATGAAGGTTGTGGAGAAAGTTCGGCATGCGCGCGCGGCCGACGCGCGAGTGGCCCGCATGGCATTATTTGACACGGGTCGTGCCCCACCCACACAGCACGCGCGCAAAGGCGTGCGAATGATGTTGGCATGCGGCACGAGAGGCTCGTTCGACAGACATCAATGACCATGTTGCAGAACCTCTGACTCCCCCAAGACTTCGCAAGAACGCGAACGCACGCTTTTTTGAACACTGACTTTGCGAAACCATGTGTTTTTGTATGTTGTTTGGGCACTCGTTTTTCTGTGTTTTATTTTAGCGAAATTACTATACTATGGTTTAGGATCAGTGGCAAAACACCGCCGAGACTCTGAATAATCAGGAACAGGCGGTTCCTATCGAAACGATTTTTCCATGGACAAGCGAGTGGACGGAGAAGGAAGAGAAGGAGAGAGGAGTGGGAGGAAAGAGGAAGAGGAGGATGACGACATCAGAACACAAGGAGCAACGCTCAGGCCAACCTGCAAGATGCGAAACGATTCGCGCCACCGAGGTTCGAATAGGCTGAAGAAAAAACCATATGTCAGAGTCCAAGCTCCGTGCCCGAGCGAGAACGCAGACCACATAAATCCACCGCCCGATCAATACGACATCCCACGCAAACGTATCATCAAGGACGGGATCCCACGTGAGCGTCGCTGAAAAAACACCGTCCCCCGCCGTTTCAACGCGTCGAGAGCGATACGGGCTTTGTGGGCTTGCTCTACCCGTCGCCGCAATAAACGCATCTATCACTGCTCGAGGTGTCACAACGCGGGGCCTCCCGTCTCCCTCGCGCAAAGACCACCGATGCTGGGCACGGTAACAGGACTTGCCGCAGGCAGCTGGGTAGTAAGTCACCCGTAGCACCCCGCAATTGCGAAGAAGAGTGAGGGGGCGGGCGCGGGGTGGGTCGCGGGTTGGTCGCGGGTGGGTCGCGGGTGAGTTGAGGGGTGGGTCGCGGGTGGGTCGCGGGCGGGTCGCGGGCGAGGACGACGACACCGCAACAACAACACAAGCAGAATCTGCTGGATGGAACGCCACTTCTACCGCACACCTGTGGAGAAGGAGTGATCGTTCGCCACCCTCACTCTGATGTATATGCGCACGCCTGTTTGCCAGCGCGGACCCCGAAGAGTTAGCTCTTGCACACTGGCAGCTCAAGCGATGTGGCGCCCACTGTGTGCTGCAGACGATGCGCGCTGCAAGGCATGTGGTGCAATCTGTGTGCGGTGCAAGCCATATGTCTATATGTTATGCAGGCTGCGAAGCTATGGGGCACAAGCTGTGCAGTGCACGCTCTGAGGTGACAATAAATGGCGTAACATATGGCCGATTCCAGAAACCCTGAACCCCAAACACGTTTTCATCTCTTGGAGACGACTTTTTTACTTCCGCCGCCTTCCGCCGGCGGAGGTGGCCTAGTTTTACTGCCGCCGACCTTCCGCCGCCTTCCGCCGCGGAAGAGATGACAACTCCTTCGGTCCTCGAAGACAAGGCCGTGTTTGGAACGCCCCATATGGCGGACGTTCCGTTTGTTGCAATCTATGTCAGGCAGGCTACGAAACTATGGGGCACAGACTGTGCAATACACGCCCTGGGGTGGCAGCACTTGGCGCGGAAGAGACGTCATGCGCGCAGTGCGACGGCAGCGGCGTGAGGCACCCACGAGGCGCGCACGCCCACCCAAAGGGCGACAACCCGCCACACCCATCCAGGGCTCTGGGGCGCCCACGAGGCGCCCACGACCGCCCACCACGCAACACCTCGACACGCCCCGCCAGCGCCTGGGGCGCCCACGAGGCGCCCGCGGCGCCCGCGGCCGCCCACCTGGCTACGCCCAGTCGTCACACCGCAGCGGATTACGTACCACCGCCAGCGAGAACCTTTAGGTGCAACCACTGCCTGGGGTAATGCACACACGTGTGCACTCGCTGTGCGAGGTCATATGGTGTGTGGTCGTATGTGCACATGAGCGTGCCACCGTGGTGCGTTCAGGTACATACGCGTACTTACATATGTACAATGCATACATGCACGTGCATGGCTATGTGTGATATGCGCATACGCGTATCTGTATGTATGCATGTGTGCATGCATGCATGTATGTATGTAGGTGGGTATGTATGTATGTATGTATGTATGTATGTATGTATGTATGTATGTACGTATGTATGTATGCATGCATGTATGTATGTATGTAGGTAGGTAGGTATGCATGCATGTATATATGTACGTATGTATTTATTTATGTATGTAGGTGTGTATGTATGTATGTATGTATGAATGTATGCCGGTATGTATGTTTATTTGTATGTACGCATGTATTTATATATACACATATACACATACATATGTGTATACGTACATATACACAATCACGCATACACGCGCATCTGAATCTACATGCATGTGCACCATTAGAAACACATGTGCGACGGGCCGGGCGGTCGTTCATCCTGGACACGCCCCTGCTTGGCCCTCGATCCGAGCAGCTGGCCAGGTTGGTATCTCACGACGCTCGGGCCTACCTCTGTCGAGGGCCGTCGCGTGACGGATCCCGCGCGACGAAACGGAACGCCACCTGGGAATCTTCCACGCCCGACGAGCGAGTGGGGGAGGAGAAAGAGAATATAGGCGAAGGGGCAGCAGGAGGAGGATGAGGAGGCAGGGGCGTGCTAGAAGAGCCAGAAGAGGAGGGGGAGTAGCTTGACGCAGTGGAAGAGGATAGGGATGGGGGAAGGAGGAGTGACGACGGAGAAGAGAGGACCGGGTGGTGTGTAAGAGTGCAGCGAGGAAGGGAGTGGGATGGAGGAGGGGGAGGGTGTGATGCTCCTGTTGCCGATGATGATGATGATGATGATGATGATGATGATGATGATGATGATGGTGATGCTGATGATTGTGGTAATGATGCTGATGATGGTGATGTGATGTTGAAGATGACGATGGCGATGGTGCTGCTGATGATGATGTTGACGAGGATGATGGCGGGGATGGCCTTGGTAATGGTGATGATGATGCCACTGGCGATGGCGATGATGACGACGATGATGATGATTATGCTGATGATGATGAGGATGATGAGGATGCTGATGATGCTGATGATGATGACGAGGCTGATGCTGCTGATGATGCTGATGATTCTGATGCTGCTGCTGTTGTTGATGATGATGATGCTGATGATGATGATGCTGCTGCTGCTGATGATGATGATGATGATGATGATGATGATGATGATGATGATGATGATGATGATGATGATGATGCTGACGATGGTGATGGTGATACTGACGAGGAGGAGGAGGAGGAGGAGGAGGAGAAGGGTGAGGAAGGGGGAGGTGGGAGAGCATGTGGAGGAGGAGGATGAGGAGGAGGAAGGGGGAGGTGGGAGAGCAGGTGGAGGTGTTGGAGGATGTGGGGGAAAAAAGGGTGGGGGAACCTGAGGAGGACGAGGATGAGCGGCAGGAGCAAGAGAAGACGGGTGCCACAGGAGAAGCACACCACGCACTCGGGCCTGCTATATCGCAACCCGGGGGCTCTCGCCGTCCTCCGCCGCAGAGTCGCCCTCGGGGCCGGGCATGCCCGCGGAGCAGCAGGGAGAGCAGGAGGATAGGCAGGAGGAGAAGGAGCAGCAGGAGACGGAGCAACAGGAGAACAGGGAGCAGGATGAGGATGAGGAGGAGGAGGAGGAGGAGGAGGAGGAGGAGGAGGAGGAGGAGGAGGAGGAGGAGGAGGAGGAGGAGGAGGAGGAGGAGGAGGAGGAGGGCAGCATAGGATGGGCAGGAGAGGAGCATGATGGGCAGGAGGAGTGGAATGAGGAGGAGAGCAGGAGAGGAGGAGCAGGAGGAGGAGGAGGAGGAGGAGGGGAGAGGAGGAGGAGAGAGGAGGAGGAGGAGGAGGAGCAGGAAGAGGAGGAGGAGGAGGAGGAGGAGGAGGAGAGGAGGAGGCGGAGGAGGAGGAGGAGGAGGAGGAGTAGGAGCAGGAGGAGGAGGAGGAGGTGGCGAGGGAAAAGGAAGAGGATGCTTTAACCTCGGCTGCTGAAAGGCCCTAAGCAAAACCACCAGGGCGATGGCAGGAATCCAGAGGCGAATTGCCGTGGCATGGAAAGGGTAGAGAAGATGAGGGCTGAGAAGATGGGGGAGGAGGACGAGGAAGCGTAGGGAGAGGAGGAGGAGGAGGACGAGGAGGAGGAGGAGGAGGAAAAGGAGGATGAACACGGAGATAACGGGGAGGAGGAGAGCGCCGAAGAGCACGACGAGTGCAGGCCCGCGGCGGATGCCACGCGCCCAGGCGGCGCAGCAGCGTGAGCACGGGAAGGCAGAGGCACCTCTGGCAGAGACGCCTCCAGGGCGACGTACCCGAGACGAGGAAGGGCCGGGGGACCAAGCGTGGCCGCGGCACACCGTGGCCAGAAGAGCCCATTCGTTCCCTCTGCAGCGTCCTTGGTGGTGCAGTCGGACCTGATCGGACAGGGCACGCGGGAGGGCACAGGACCCTTCCGAGGGCCACACTGCCACAGGAATGTCGGAGCCATGGGTTGCGAGACACAGGAGGCACGGGCACCCTTGATTTTGTAAGGTCGACATACTGATTCGGGCCGACTGTAGCACGATGGCTGTAGTTGGGGAGGAGGCCCGCCCGCTTGCGCGAGATGTCGTGCGCGCTCGCGAGGTCGGCGCGCGTACGCGAAGGGAAAGAAGCTTGGCCAGGCCCGGGCATTTCACGTCGGCTTCGACTCGTGCGCGTCGCGATTCGGGTCGGAGCAGCACGGCCAGAGAAACAAGCTCGGCCAGGTCAGGAATAATCTGCATCGGCTTCGACTGGTGCGCGCTGCGATTCGGGCGAGGGCGGACTGGACAAAAACTGGACAGCCCATGGCGGCGACCGTTGCAATCAAGGCAAATGGGCATCCGAGTCCACCGTGGCTCTCGACAGTCAGGGGATCTGCATATCTCCCGTTCACCGTGAACGGCTTATGTACGCGTGACAAGTTTATCGTGCCCCGCAGGCCGCCTGAATGCCTCCGTGACCGCCCTCGGCAGGAGCGAGGACAACGCGGTACGTGACAGAATCGGTCGTGGGCACTTGCTGGAAGATCCTAGTGGCTGTAGCCACAATCGTCGCCCTCGAGGTGGATAGCATCGGGGTGCAAGGTTTCCGTTCACTCGGGCCCATCCCAAGCCGCACGCATTACGACGGGTTCGGGGCGGCAAGCTTCGGTGTCACCTCACCAGAGGGCGCCAACCGCCCAACCTCACTCGAGTCGTGGAATCATCTGCCTTTTGTGGCGATTTCGGCCTCCTCCTCCTCCTCCTCCTCCTCCTCCTCCTCCTCCTCCTCCTCCTCCTCCTCCTCCTCCTCCCCCTCCCCCTCCTCCTCCTCCTCCTCCTCCTCCTCCTCCCTCCTCCCTCCTCCTCCTCTCCTCCTCCTCCCTCTCGCCCTCCTCCTCCTCCTCCTCCTCTCCTCGTCTCCTCCTCCTCTCCTCCTCCTCCTCCTCCTCCTCCTCCTCCTCCTCCTCCTCCTCATCATCCTGATCCTCCTCCTGCTCCTCCCCACGCTCCTCCTCCTCCTCCTCCTCCTCCTCCTTTTTCTCCTCGTCCTCCTCCTCCTCTTCCTCCTCCTCCTCCTCCTCCTCCCTTTGCTTCTTCCGTCAAGCTGGGGCGGGTGGTGGGGTCGGACCGGGATCGGGTCGGACGAAGGGGTTCCCAGTCAAGGGGGGGTTGACGGTCGACGAACCAGCTCACGTAGCTGACTCTCCTGGCGCCCCCTGCGGCGGGGCCGAAACCAGCTTCATGCAGCAATTTTCGTAACCCCCCCTGTTCTAATCCACCCTCTCGTCCGACCCGACTCGTACAGGACCGCGTGGAACAAGCAGATCGCCGCCTGCGGCGGGTTTTCGATACATGTTTGAGCATTGGAGCGTACTGTGCGCATCTCGGGCTGGGGGAACCCCAGAGGCTACGGATGACCGGGGGGCCGCGAGGCTAAGCGGGGACGTCGGTTCTGGGCCGCGCGAAAAGAGCCCAACGAACACAACCTGCGGATGCGGCGGGCCCGTACTTTGATGCCCGCCTTCCTGGCGCTCTTACGCAACAGACAGCCCCTCTGACGGGCTTCTGTACGAAATGTGCGCCCCCGAGCCAAAACGCAGCCTCGCCCTCCTGTCCGCCACCACGCAGGTGGCGTGGCAGAGCCGGGGGCCGAAGACGAGCTCGCGGGGCCGCAGCCGCAGCCCCTGCGCACGGCGAGGTGCCTCCGCCTGGCCCGCACGGCGACGGCCCCTCCGCGGAGAGGCGGGGCCGCGCCTCCGGCTTCTGGGCTGGCGTCACTCTCCACCGCCCGGCGCGCCCCGGGTGCGCGGCCGCGGCCCGGCGGGGCGCAGCGCGGCGCGCGCAGCCGCCTCCGCCTCGAGGCGCCCGCTGCGGGAGCACGCGGCGACGCCGCCAAGTGCGCCCCGCGCACCTCTCCGAGGGGGGCGGAGCCTGGCCGTGGCGACGCGGGGGGCCCGCCTCGAGAGGGCGAAGAGGCCAGGAGCACCTTGCCGCTGCAGCGCGGCAGAGGCGATGCGCTCGCGCGCTCCCGCAGCCCGGGGGCGCGCGGCGCAGGTGCCGACCGGCAGCAGCGCGCGCCTCGCCCGAGAAGCCCGCCGCGGCGCCGAAGACACACGTGCCGCTGCTGGGGGCGAAGGCCCCTGCGCGCCTTGCTCCTGGCAGCCTGTGCTGCCTCTGCGGCGCAGGGGGGGAGAGGACGGACGGAGGAGCACACACACACACACACACACACGACGCACGCACGCGCATGCGGGAGGCCAGAGCCAGCGGGACCAGGCAAGCGGGCGTGCGCGCGGGACCAGGGAAGAAGCCTATCGGCGACGGTGCCATGGTCTTGGTTTATCCTCCGCCTGCCCCCGCCGGCGCTCGCGCCGCAGGGAGCGAAGGAGTGGGAGAAGGAGGAAAAGGAGGAGGAGGACGAGGAGGATAAGGAGGAGGAGGAGGCGGAGGAGGCGGATGCGGAGAATGAGGAGGAGGAGGAGGAGGAGGAGAAGGAGGCGCAGGAGGAGAGAGGGGGAGGAGGAGGGAGGGGGGAGGGGGGGGGGTGAGAAGGAGGAGGAGGAGGAGGAGGAAAAGGAGGAGGAGGAAAAGGAGGAGGAGGAGGAAAAGAGAAGGAGGAGGGATGATGATGATGATGATGATGATGATGATGATGATGATGATGATGATGATGATGATGATGATGATGATGATGATGATGATGATGATACTGATGATACTGATGATACTGATGATGATGATGATGATGATGATGATGATGATGATGATGATGATGATGATGATGATGATGATGATTTGAAGGAGGAGGAGGAGGACGAGGACGACGACGAGGGTGGGAGGAGGAGGGAGGGAGGATAGAGGGAAGTGGAGGGAGGAGGAGGCGGAGGAGGGGGAGGAGGGGGAGCAGGAGGAGGAGGCGGGGGAGAAGGACGACGAGGATGAGGATGATGATGCTGATGATGAGGAGGATGAGGAGGGTGATGATGATAATGATGATGGTGATAATGATGATGATGATGATGATGATGATGATGATGATGATGATGATGAGGAGGAGGAGGAGGAGGAGGAGGAGGAGGAGGAGGAGGAGAAGGACAAGGGAGGAAAACGGAGGGGCCAACTGGAGCAACTTCTGCAATCTTGCACGCGCCGCTCTGGCGAACGGGCGCTGACAACGGCTCCTCGCCCCGCACGCTTGGCATCCGCTCGCGTAGTCCATCTGGTGGGGAGCGTGGCTGGTCCTCGAATGATCTGCCTCGCCAGGAACTTCAGCGTGCATGGCAACGTTGCGCCGCAGCTGGTCCATGCGCTCGGGAAGGTGCCCCGTCAGCGCGGGAAGGATCGCGAAAACCCAATCCCCGACTTCGGCGCCGCCGACGAGCAAGGTCACTGCCTCCTTGAGCGAGTACTGTGCTCCTGGGCAGGGTGCTCCTTCGCTCGGCTGCTCGCAAGAGTGACCCTGAGTAAGAGTGACCTTTGCTGCGCGGCTTTTTGAGGGTCGCGGGGGGGGGCCAACCACAAGCGCGCAAGGCGCTACTATCGCATCGCGCTCGGTGATCGGGGGACCCACATGTGCCCGCACCCAGAAGTCGCTCCGGCGAAGGGCCACTCTTACGTGTAGCCGCTTCTCCGGCTGGAGCCTCAGGATGGCCCGGTCCGCTGCACGACGAGCAGCTTTGGCGGGCGGCGTTCCGCTCCGCAGCGGTCTGCCAGGGGCGCCCGCACGGCGTGCCCTCCCGCGCCAGCCTCGAGTCTCCGGCGCTCCCACTGCTTCCGGCAGCCTCCACAGTTCCGGCAGCCCACCGCGGCCATGGGCACGAGGGGCAGTGGAGAAGGCAGGGAGCGCGGCCTGAGCCAAAATGGCAACGGATTGGGACGATGGCTGTTGTAGTAGTTGCTGTTGCTGCTGATGATGATGACGATGATGACGATGACGATGACGATGATGATGACGATGATGATGCTGATGATGCTGATGATGGTGATGGCGATGATGATGGCGTCGACGATGCTGCTGCTAATGATGATGCTGCTGCTGATGCTGTTGATGATAATGCTGATGATGATGATGTTGATGCTGATCCTGATGCTGCTGCTGCTCATCTTGATGATGAGGATGACGATGATGATAAGGATGGTCGTGCTGCTGCTGCTGATGATGATGATGATGATGATGATGATGGTGATGCTGATTATGATGATGATCGGGGAGGAGGGGGGCACGAGACAACTAATTAGTCAGGGGAGGGGGAGATGCGGAGGAGATCGAGGGTGGATGGGAAGGAGTGACGGAACGGCCGAGAAAGATGACGAGGTGGAGGTTAAGGAGTAAGGAAATGAAGAAAGAGGACCAGGAGGCGGACCAGGTGGAGAAGGAGTGGATGCTGATGGTGGCGGTGGTGATGATGAGGAGGATTAAAAGAAGCAGAAAGAAGGATGAGCACTGTCCTTGGTCCCGTCGCTCCCTGCTTCGTCGGGATCAGCGCCGGTGAAAGGGTCGTCTCTCGCGCTCAGCAAGGCGTTGTTCGCCTCACCGGAGAGAGAAGTGAGAGGGGGGGATGAGGAAGGAGGCCAAGACCAGGGAGCTTTAGGACGAGCCCAGCGTGGATGGGAGGATGGCGGTGATGAGGATAATGGAGATCCGGAAGAAGATGAGCGGGATGATGATGATGCTGATGATGATGGTGATGATGCTGCTGATGATGATGGTGATGCTGGTGCTGATGATGCTGAGGCTGCTGCTGCTGATGCTGATGATGATGGTGGTGGTTGTGATGATGATGATAGAGGAGGAGGGGCAAGAGACAACAAATTATTCAGGGGAGGAGGAGATGCGGAGGAGATCGAGGGTGGATGGAGAGGAGTGACGAAAAGGCCGACAAAGAGGACGAGGTGGAGGTTGAGGACTGAAGGAATGAAGAAAGAGGACCAGGAGGCGGACGAGGTGGACACGGTGTGTATGCTGATGATGGCGGTGGTGATGATGCGGAGGATGAAAAGAAGCAGAAAGAAGGATGAGCCCTGTCCTTGGTCCCGCCGCTCTCTTCGTTGTCGGGCTCATCGCCGGCGAAAGGGTCGTCTCTCGCACTCAGCAAGGCGTTGTTCGCCTCTACGATCTGCAGCAGCGCCTCTCCGCAGAGGGAAGTGAGGAGGGGGGAGGAGGAAGGAGGCGGCCAGGGAGCTTTAGGACGAGCCCAGCGTGGATGGGAGGATGGCGGTCATGAGGATGATGAGGGTTCGGAATAATAGGAACATGATAATGATGCTGATGATGGTGATGATGGTGCTGATGCTGATGATAATGACGATTATGACGATGAGGATGATGATGCTGATGATGCTGCTGATGATGATGAACATGATGATGAGAATGATTATCATGATGATGCTGCTGATGATCCTGATGAAGATCACGATGATTATGATGATGATGCTGCTAATGATGACGACGATGATGATGCTGATGCTGATGCTGATTATGCTGATGATGATCATGATGACGGAAGAGGCAGCGCGGGAGGACAGGGCTGGGGGAGGAGGAAAAGGAGTTCTGGCCATGTCGACCGATTTCTGCGGTTTCGGAAGGTCTTGAAATCTCAATGCGGCTATCGGAATTTGTTTCGGAAGTGTTCGAACATGCAAATCATATAAACAATCTGAAATGACAAGAACACGGGTCAGAAAACGAGGGGGTGCTGGGCCAGGATGGGGAAGAGACGGAAAGGAGGAGGTGGTATGGATGATCGTATGCATGCGTTTCGAGTGTTTGACTTTAGCTCTATTGGAATGTTCTCGGGACTCATGTGTATATCTCCGAAACTCGCACAAGCTTTTTGTTGCCAAGTGTTCCTGCTCTTTGTGTGCACGAGGGCAGGTGGTGATGGTCATCCCTCCCGCTGGGTGTTGCTCGGGAGGTCCTCGATCACCCCTGGATTCCTGGGGGGTCCTTGCTTTGATTTTCCCGTGCTTGCTTTGCTCCAGTCGCTTTGATTGCTGTGTTTAGCTTTGCCCTGCTTTTTGTGGTTTGCCTTTTGAGTGCCACCATATGACAGACAATGCAATGTAATGATGTGCCATGCCATCGAATAAAATGATATCCATACCAAATTGTGCCATGCTGCGCTATGCCATTCAACACGCTTACATGTCACATTATACTATGCAAAGATTACAGATGCGTCTTTATGCAAATATGCCCAATGCACCACGCAACGTGGATGATGATTTGCCACGGGATGCAACACGAATATTTGCACGACTGCATGTCGCTATGCCGTTCATATCTCTGTTACAAAATGTCTTGCACCGCTCTGCTGTGTTAGGATATGTTCGACCATGCAATGGCATGCTATGACGTACAACGCTATACTATGCTATTCACTGGCAGGTTACGGTACGCCATTCGAGGCAGCACAAGCATCATGCATAACGCTGTGCCAAGCAATGCTGAGCAATGCTGCGCAATGCTATCCAATGCAGTGTTACGCTATGACTTGTCACGCTATGCGTTACCACCCGGGGCTTCAATGCAATGGCGTGCGCTACAATGCTATGCCATATAGTGCTAAGCTATGCTGCTACGGCATGGTACGCACGGGTGCTATACACATACTACTGCGCTGTGCTATCCAATGCGGCACCATGGAGTGGTGTGCTACGCGATGGTATGTTGCTCTGGTAACTATGCGTTGCATTGCTTTGCAGATCAATGCGTTGCACATTAGTGGGGCCTCGCAGGGTTCACCATTGGGGGTTCCTATCGGATGGATGGGGATATTGGATTGGGGAGGAGCAAAGAAAGACACAATGATCGAGGGGTTGAGGCGGTCTTGCAATGTCCTTGGGTGCGCGTGGCTGAAAAGGGTTCCGGTGAGCCGGACTTCGGCTCTCATTGTTTTCGCCGTCCCCCCGCGCCCCGCTTCACACCCCGCCCCGGGCCCCGCTCGGGTCGCGCGAAACGGCGGTTAGGAAAGGGAGGTGCAGCGAACCAACTCACGTGGCCGACTTCCTCGGCGCTTCCTGGCGCTGGAGGCGCTGGTATATCGAGGCGAGCGCCCGGCGGCGGGGCTGACACCAGCCGCCTGCAGCCATCTCCGTGCGGTCGGGAATCTTTGCCTCGCGTGTCGCGGCGGCGGCCCCAGCGTGACGCTGACGCCGGGTAGCTGGGGAGTGGATAGCGCGATCCAGAAGTTCCACGCCCTAACCTTCCCCCTTCCCGCCCCGCCCCTTTCGCCCGACCCGCACCACGCCCCGCGCCCCTCCGCGCGACCCGTCTCGTGACCCCGCCTGCGGCCCGTTGGCAGCACGCCCGCGGTCCGTCGACGCCCCCGCGCCGCGGCCAGCGCCCGCCGCGACCTGCCCCGCCGACTTGCACCACTCGCGGCGACGCGTGGGCAGCCCGATCCGCGACCCGCGCCCACATCGACCCGCTCCGCCCCGCGCCCCGCGCCCACGCGCCCCGCCAGCGCGCCCCGCCCAGAAGAGGCTGGTGGAGCTTGGGGGGTGGAGGGTAGAGGCTTGAGGAGGAGGAGTAGGGGGAGAAGGGTGCAGGAGTTGGTCGTCGTCGGAAGTATAGGATGAAGCGTCTCGCTGTGCCCGCGGACAGGAGTGCGAGGGAGGAGGGAAGACAGAGGGGGGAGGAGATGGTGCTATCCACTGGCCGCCAGGCTCTCCTCCAACTCCCCCTCCTCCTCCTCCTCCTCCTCCTCCTCCTCCTCCTCCTCCTCCTCCTCCTCCTCCTCCTCCCCATTCCTCTCTCCCTACTCCTCCTCCCTCGTCCTGCCCCCTCCTCCTCCTCCTCCTCCTCTTCCTCCCCCTCCTCCTCCTCCTCCTCCTCCTCGTCCTCCTCCTCCTCTTCTCATTACATATTATCCTCATCCTCTGCCTCCTCTTTGCCGTCGCCTTCCTCATCAATATTCATCATCATCATCTTCCTCCTCATCATAGTCTTCTTTCTCCGCCTCCCTGTCGCCTTCCCCCCCCGCCTCCTCTTCTTCCTCCTCCCTGTCCTCTTCCTCATCCTGTTCCCTTGTAGCATCCCCCCTCGTCATCATACTGCACCTTCTCCTCGTCTTCTCTTCATCCCTTTCCTCCTGCTCTCGTTTTTCCCTACCTAGGCTCTGCCTAAAAGGGTTATTACCCTTTTTTCTTAAAGGGGCCGGGCAGTGGAAAACGCCCTTGGCGGTTCCCCTGGCATCCGCCCCGCGGTTCCCCCAGTTACGCCCCCTTAGCTTAGCGTTTCCTATCTCATCTTAGCTTGGCCTAGCTTAACTTAGCATAGCTTAAGTTTCTAGCCGAGCTTAGCTTAGCTTGGCTTGGCTTAGCTTCGCCTAGCCTAGCTTAGCTGAGCTTAGTTTAGCTTAACATAGCTTAGCTTACCTTAGTGCAGCGCAGCAACACATCATATCATATCATAGCCTAGCATAGCCATGCGTAGCATAGCATAGCTCAGCATCGCATATCATAACATAATATAGCATAGCGCAGCGCAGCATATCACCGCATTGCTTATCATAGCACAGCACAGCACAGCATATCATATCACAACACAGAATAGCACAGCGCAGCATAGCATGGCACAGCATAGCATAGCACATCGCAGCAAGGCATAGCATAGCATAGCATATCATAGCGCAGCATAGCTTAGCGCTGTTGATGTTGGTGTAGATGTAGATGCAGGTGTAGATGTTAATGCAGCTGCCACTGTAGATGTAGATGTTGCTTTCCTAGATGCTCCGCACTGGGATAATTCTTAATTGTCCTCCCAAACCTCCTTCTCCTGCTGCTCTTCCTCGTGTTGTTCCACATTCCCGGATCGCTCTGGAGAGCTAAGAGAGTTTCAGAATAGAAGTCGGCAGCGCAGGGTGGCTCGGCAACTCTTTCCGGCGCCGGGCAAGTATTCCTGGAGCGCCCTGCTTGAAGCTGCAGCGGGTCCCAGCAAGCGTTTTCCCACTCGTTCCCGATACGCGTGCCGGAAGCCTTCCCGCAGCTCCTCCGAAGCTCCTTGAGAGCTCCTGCGAAGCTTCCTTTCCCGAGCTTGCAAGCTCCCCAGGCATGCTTTCCAGCGTCCTTGTAAGCGTCTCCCATAGTCATGTCACGCGCTTTGGGCTGCGTCGCTATCCGGGTTTAGGACACCACAAGCGTCGTTTTTGTCCTCCTCCGAAGTTGTTGAATCGAGGGAAGCGCCGGGGTAGGGGATGACACATCGTAGCAGAAGGGGTAAATGGGGCGGAGGACTTGGATAAGCAGGAAGAGGAGGAGGTGGAGGAGGAGGAGGTGGAGGAGAAGGACACGAGAAACACGTAAAAGATATTGAGATGATGATCGGGAGAAGTTGCAGGCTTGCCGAGGAGACACGCAAAGAGGAGGAGGGCGAGGAGAACGTGGGTGCAGAAGAGAGGGATCGAGGACCGAGGGACAGGAGGAATGTGAAGGGGGGAGGCGGACGGGAGGGAACGGGAACGAAACATGCGGAACATCCCTTTCCGTCTCCGCTCCTTCTCCTTTTCAGCTGCCATCCTCAGCCCTCGTCTGCCCCACCGCGCAGGGCAAAGTGTTCCCAAGCCTTGATCTCCATCTCGACGATCCTCACCGTCCTGCGCACGGCATTGAGAGCACTCCTCTTCCAATTCCTCCTCCTCCTCCTGCTCCTCCTCATCATGATCATCATGATCATCATGATCATCATGATCATCATCACCATCATCATCATCATCACTGGCACTATCAGTATCACCATCACTACCCTCACCAACCATCAATCCTCCTCATCATCACCACCATCACCATCATCATCATCACCACCACCCTAACCATCATCACCATCATCATCATCATCATCATCGTCATTGTCATCATCATCATCGTCATCATCATCATCATCACCAGCATCATCATCTTATGACCAGCATATCATCAAAACCATCATGACCATACTCACCATCACCACCATCATCACCACCACCATCACCATCACAATCATCACCATCACAATCATCAACACCATCATCATCATCATCACGATCACCATCATCATGACCATCATCATCATCATCATCATCGTCATCATCCTCATCAGCATCATCAACGTCGTGGTCATCATCATCATCAGCATACTCGTCCTCACCCTCATCGTCATCATCGTCCTCATCCTTCTTATCCTCATGCTCATCATGATCATGATCATGAACATGGCCATCATCATCATTATCATCACCATCACCACCATCATCAGTATCTCTAGTAACATTATCATCATCATCATCCTCATCGTCACCATCATCATCATCGTCATCATCATCTGTACCACCATCACCACTATCATCATCACCAACACCATCACCAGCATCATTTTCGTCATCAGCATAATCATCATCAGTATCATCATCATCGTCATCATCATCACCATGTCCAATGAGCAGTCTCTCATGCTTCCTCCCTCCTCCCCTCTTCCCCTCCCTCGTCCCGCCCTCCTACCTCCTCCCTCGTCTCCCCCCCTCTTTCCTTCCAGATCCTCTCCCCTTCCCTTATCCCTCTCCCTCGTCTTCCTCCCCCACCTCTTGATCCTTCTCCTCCCTCCCCACCCACTTGCTCCTCTCACCTTCCCCTCCCTCCTCTTTCCCCTCCCTTTCCCTCCTCCTCCTCCTCCTCCTCCCCCTCCCCCTCCTCCTCCTCCTCCTCCTCCTCCTCCTCCTCCTCCTCCTCCTCTGCCTAAAGTACCCCCCTTCCTCCCTGCGCCTCCATTCCTGGAGCCGAAGCGGGAGGAGTAGGGAGGATGATGGTGAGGCAGAGATGGATGGGGAGGAGGAAGAGGGATAATGAACAGGAGGGGGATGCGGCAAGGAGGCCACAAGGAAGGTGGAGCATGGCATCCGCGCCCCGCCGCGCGCCGATCCTCGTCGTCTCCGACGTGGATTGCCCGCCGACCAGGCTCGCCAGCAGTGCGGACTTCTCGATCAGGTCGACGGGCCCGCGGTCGGTTGGCCGCTCTACGAAAGGGCCAACCAGGCCCTGCTGACTCCATGAGGGAGGGAGGGAGGAGACAGGGAGGAGGGAGAGAGGACGGGATGGAGTGAGGGAGGGGGAAGGGAGGAAGGAGGTTAGGAGGCGAGGAGGGGGGCAGGAAAGGAGGGATGGGGCTGGCGCGAAGGAAGAGGTAGGCAGGGAGGGAGCGAGGAGAAGAGGAAGGGAGGTCCTCCTCCTCCTCCTCCTCCTCCTCCTTCTCCTCCCCCTCCTCCTCCTCCTCTTATTACCCCTCCTCCTCCTGCTACTCCTTCTCCTCGCCCTTCTCCTCCTCGCCGTGGGCGGTCGCAGGGCCCTCTTGGGGAGCCCCTCGAGAGAAGCAACTGTGGAGCCATCCCGGTGGACCTCCGCAGGCCTCCCGGGACCTCCGCGGTGAGCTCCGGGGCACCGGAGGCCCTCGGAAGACACCTGGAGGCCCAGGCCTCGTGCAGGCCGGCCACGAGGCCGTGCGCTGCCCGTCCCCCGCCGCCGCGGGTGGACTTGCCTCGCAGTCCGGAGAGCACCCCATGAGGAAGAGGAGGAGAAGGAGGAGGAGGAGGAGGGGGGGGAGGAGGAGGACGAGGAGGAGGAGGACGAGGAGGAGGAGGAGGAGGAGGACGAGGAGGAGGAAGAGGAGGAGGAGGAGGGGGAGGAGGAGGAGGGAGGGAGGAGGAGGGGGAGGAGGAGGAGGAGGAGGAGGAGGAGGAGGAGGAGGAGGAGGAGAGTTCCCCAGAGTACGGTTTCGGTCTCCTGGTGTTCCTTTCGGCAGATCGTGTGGTAGTCTCTACAGCCCACGAGACCTCACCGCGCGGGTCCGTCGTCGCACGGTTCGGGGGCCTCGGAAGCCCTGGTCGCTCGAAACTCTCTCGGAGAACGACCCCAGCCGAACAGAAACTGTGCGCTCTCCCCAGAACCCCATTGACTCATTTGAGGCCTCCCAGATGGGGTGGGGTGGGAATAGATGGGGTCGCTGTACTCTGCCGCATCGCCGATGCATCGGCGATGCGTCGCTGATGCATTGGCGATGCACCTGCGACGTCGGCGACGCATCGACGACTTGGGCGTGGAGAATATCGGGCTCCGCATCGAGCCGCAACGCCGATGCATCGGCGATGCGGCGCGATCCTCTGACCCCATTTACTCGGACCCCATCTGGGAGGCCTACACTCATTCGACAGCGTGGTCACTGCACTGTCGTGAGGCTTCCTAACCTCACGCGGTACGATGAAAGAACTAGCTCCTGCGGACACATTTTTCATCCATGTCCCCTGCGTTCTGGACTTTTTGGGAAAGGTGCGCCAAACGGCCGTGGCGCAGTGGATACGGATAAAAATCTAGCCTCCGGGAGCCAGACTCTTATCCATACCCAGCGCGCCTTTGGTTTCTGATCGGCGGCGAGCCTGGGGGGAAGCGAGAAGGAGAAGGCCTCCTCAGAAGGCTCGGAAGCCCCCCAGCCTTCTCAGAAGGTCTCCAAGTCTTCCCCGAAGACACCCAGCACCTCCCAGACGGCGCGAGGGCCTCTGAGAAGTCCCGCCACCTTCGGAGAGGGCCTTCTCCTCCTCGCTTCCCCCCCTCGCTCGCCGCCGACCTGGCTGCTGAGGCAGGGAGCCCGAAACTCTCCACGACGCCATGGCTCTGGATACACTTACACCCTGCGAAATGCTTAAGAAATCATGGGTTAAGAAATTCATAGCCTCAGAAATGGACTAAAAACCCAAAATTTCCAGTCAAACCTTAGGATTTACACTGAAACATTAAGAATCATCGAGACGCTGGCCGAAAATTTAAGTCTTCTTAAGCATCGCCGAAGGTGTATTGCCCGCAGGCTCCGAGGGGGGGTCTTCGTTTCTCTCGGCGCCCGGAGGCCGCCTCGGGGCGCCAGAGGGGGGCCGTCGCAAGATCGAGCCGGTCCTTGGGGAGGGGGTCGGCTCGGAGGATGGGGACGTCGAAGGCCAGGGAGGAGCGATGCGGGGAGGAGGGAGGAGGGAGGAGTGAGGAGGGAGGAGGGAGGGACCGTCGATGGACAAAATATTCGAACGCTTACACGTTCGAGGGAAATTCAGAATCCCCCCTCCCCTGCCCCCGACATCCATGTCGATCTCGGTGAAGGCGATGCTCTGGGGGCTCGAACATTTCTGTCCACTCAAGCCCCCTCCTTCGCCACGCCCTGAATACTAATTTCGGGGGGTGCGGGGGGCATGTTCGGTCGCAGGGTTCGAATCTGATGTCCTTGTACGGGGGGGTGGGGCGCACAAGGACATACAGGCCTCGGAACGAAAATAGCGAACACTAATGCCGCATTCATCTGTCAACGCCCCCCCCTTCCCCCCAATGTTCAAAGTTGGCGATGGGTCTGATGAATTGCACTTCGGCCGCAGTCTCCTCCGCGCGTGCCAACTTCGAGTTTGAGGGGGTGTTCGGTAATTTTTCCCTCTACCGTACCAGTACTGCGTGTCTGTGTTAGAGACGCACGCCCGGCCCGAACGAATAGTTCACGATCGTGCAGTCGATCTTTTCCTGATCGAGCGGTGTGGCCAGAAAACGCCCGCCACGAATACTATCCGCCACCATGCCCCCCTAGCACGTTGAGGCGTGGAGGAATGCCAAGGTCTGTCTGGTAGGGTTTTTTTTTTGTTCTCTAAGAGGGGGCCGTCCCCGCCTCTCCTCGCGGACTGCTGCGCGCACCGCCCCTCCTTCCCGAGGCCTCTTCCCTCGTGCCCGCTCGAGGATTTGTGCGCTTCCCGCGTGGCAGCCCATGCCCGACCCCCACCGTCCGCGCGTGCCCGCTGGAGGATGGTGCACTTTCCGCACGGCTGCTCGCTCCTGGACCTTCGGTCCCACGCGCACCCGCTCGAGGATCGTGCACTTCCCTTCTTCCGAAGCGCTGCTCCCGAGCGCTCCAGGGCCTCCCAAGTCACGACCCCTTGTTGAAGACGGTGGAGATGTGCCCCGAGCTGACAAGACGGCCCGTGCAGGCAATCGCGGACACCAAGATGGCCCAAGATGCCTCGTTGAAGAAGACGGCCCACGATGGCCCGAAGGCTTCCGAATCTTGATTCAAGACAGTCCAAGATGAATCCAGCAGGCCCCGAAATGGCCACAAGAGGACCCCCAGCAGGGTCAGAAGAAGCCGAAATCATTTATTTCTCTCAGGTTGTCTTCAATGATTTTCGCATTCTCGCTTTTTCGGGCTGTCGTCAGCTCAAGACGGCCCAAGAGGACTCACGACGGCCCAAAGGGCATCCAAGACGGCCCCAAGACGGCCTCCCGTGGGACTCAAGGCGGCCTGAGAAAGCTCTTCGACGGCCCAAGACGGTGCCAAGGCGGCCCCGCGAGGCCCCCCCCTCATACACCCACCATACGGCGAAGAAGGCCCCAAGACGGCCCAAGAGAGCCCCAAGCTGGCGTAGGAGGGCCCCACGACGGTCCAACAGGGCCCCCAGGGACCCCGAAGACTGCCTCACAGGAGGCCAAGACAGCCCCAAGACGGCCCCAAAGAGTTTCATCATCATCACCATCACCGTGACCATCATCATCATCATCATCATCATCATCGTCATCATCATCATCATCATCATCACCATCATCATCATCATCAACATCATCATCATCATCAGCATCAGCATCAGCATCAGCATCAGCAGCATCGGCATCATCATCATCATCATCATCATCATCATCATCATCATCATCATCATCATCATCATCGTGATCATCATCATCGTGATCGTCATCATCGCCAGCATCAGCATCAGCATCATCATCATCCTCATCATCAGCAGCATCAGCACCAGCGGCATCATCATCGTCATCATCACCACCACCATCATAATCATAATCATCATCATCCTGATCATAATTATGATCATGATGTTAATCATCATCATTATCATATTCGTCATCATGATCTTCATCATCGTCACCGTCATCGTCATCGTCGTCGGCGTCATCGTCGTCGCCATCGTCGTCGTCACCATCATCATCAACATCAAAATCATCATCACCACCAATATCGCCATCGTCATAACCATCACCATCACCATCACCATCACCATCACCATCGTCATCGCCATCATCATCATCATCATCATCATCATCACCATCATCATCATCATCATCATCATCATCATCATCGTCATCAACATCATCATCACCAGCATCATGATCATAATCAGCACCATCATCATTCTCATCATCATCATCATCATCATCGTCGTCATCATCATCATCATCATCATCATCATCATCATCATCATCATCATCATCATCAGCATCATCATCATCATCATCATCATCATCATCATCGTCATCATCATCATCATCATCATCATCATCATCGCTATCACCATCGCCATCACCATCACCATCACCATTTCCATCATCATCATGATCCTCCTCCTCCTCCTCATCCTCATCATGCTCATCACGGCTCCCCTAAGCCTGGAGACATGAAGGGTCAAACGTGACGGCCGCCCGTGACCTATCGAACAGTCGCCACCCAGAATGCTAGGCTGTCACAGTGGCGCGGGACTTGCCGCAGGCAGCCGGATGCTAGAAAGCTTCCCCAGCGTGCGCAGCGCCACTGCGTGGCCGACGCCCAACCCCTGGCGTTGTGTTTGTTCACGGCGTTGACCCCCCTAAAAACATCGACCCCTCCCCTGGGGCCAAGTCTTCCTCCCGAGCTTCTGTTGTCGGTCCCGTGCCCAGCAGGTGCCCCCCAATGCCGAACACTGGCAGGACCCTTCCGTGACGTGCTTTGCTTCGCGACCCGACGGGCTCTGGGTCGGAGCCCGCCCTGGGACAGGCCCAGGCGGACTCGACTTGCGTGGCGAGCGAGCCCTCGAATGCCGCACATTCACCACGGGCGTGCCTGCTCCGCTCAGGGCCCCTGGGGTTGTGTTGCTCCCATCGGACTTCAGGACCACATCCCAGAAATAGTTTCGAGCACC